CTGCACTCCAGCCTGGGGGAGAGACTGAGACCCTGTCTCTAACACTAAGCTAAAATAAAGTAAGATATGTGGAGCGTGGGCATGGGGAGGGTCACAGTCCTGACCCACGTTTGCCAGCGCCATGGGGCCAGAACTGTGAGGCACGGCCCTGCTGACTCGGGGTCTTCCCTGTGTGGCAGTCCCGCCCTGGGCACTGATCGCCATCGCTGTGGTCGCCGGCCTCCTGCTCCTCACCTGCTGCTTCTGCATCTGCAAGAAGTGCTGCTGCAAGAAGAAGAAGAACAAGAAGGAGAAGGGCAAAGGCATGAAGAATGCCATGAACATGAAGGACATGAAGGGCGGCCAGGTAGGCCGGAGTGGGCGGCTGGCAGGGGCCCGGCCCAGCTTTCCTGAAGCTCACAGGGGAAGCAAAGGCCTCCGGCTTCCGCAGCCAGACCGGCTCCCTCCTTAACACTGCACAAGGGCTCTCTTGGTTACGTCTCCAGTATGACTTCATCTGCTCACTGGCTAGTGGGAAGGGGAACTAACTCCTGGGTTAGCGTGAACTCATCCTTGGAAAGGCAGAGGAAGAGAAGACTATCTTGAACCCCAGTTGGGCTACTGGGGCAAAAGGTTGGAAACAACCCCCTGCTCCCACCACCACCACCAGGAAGACACCACTGGGTCACCTTGTGTTTTCCGGCCAGAGACACTGAAGGACAATATCTCATTGGGGGCAGCTAACTGGGCATGGGGTAGGGAACCGAATGAGGCAGAAGAAGTGGTCCTGAGGCACCAAGACAGGGCCACACGGAATCCATCACTAATCACATCATAATTTCATTTATTTTCCTGTCTTTTGGTGTTGGTTAGCCTAGAAAGGTCCCTTGATACATAATACCAGAGTTTCTCCTTTTAAGTTTACAGAGGCCCCTCTGTGCTTCCCTTTTCCCATGTTTGGGAGTGACTGGGAGAAATCTCTTGCTCAAGGAATCACTGTGGAGGGTGGAAGGAAGGGCCTGATCTCAAGAAGTCGGCTAGGGATCAAGATGCCTTTGAGACCAGGTGCGGTGGCTCATGCCTGTGATCCTAGCACTCCGGGAGGCCAAGGTGGGAGGATCGCTTGAGCTCAGGAGTTGGAGGCTGCTGTGAGCTATGATGACACCACTGCACTCTAGCCTGGGTCACAGGGCGAGACTCTGTCTCAAAAACAAAACAAAACAAAACAAAATGCCTTTGAGTGCTCGTGGGTGTGTGGTCGTGTGCGTACATGGGCCCAAAAGGACCTGCAGAGAGTGTGTGTGTGTGTGTGTGTGTGTGTGTGTGTGTGTTGGGAGGGGTTCCAAGAATGCCCTGAGTGTCGCACAGCGTGGCCCCCCCCAAGCGGCTGTGGTTTCAGGGGCTGGTCTGAGCCAGGATTTTCTCTTACACCATTTTTTCCACCTCCGTGGACTCACTTCGCTCCTGCCTGCGTGGGCCGCCCTCTGGTATGTGTCACCTAGGATGGGGGGACCTGAGCTGGGGACAGCACTGGGGAGAGGGCTCACAAGGGAAGCAATTCCCCCACCCCGGCCTCAAGATACTAGCGCATTTGGCAAAGTGCCTCCCAGGGAGGAGGGAGGCCCACCAGGGCCCGAGCTGTGTCTTCCAAACACGGCGTTGGCGTTCGGGGCCGCGGGGGGTCGGGAGGGTGTGGAGCAGCGGAGTCCCATGGGCAGGGCCACGTTCCCTCCTTCCCCCACGCCCAGCTCCGAGTCGGGTCTGGCATCCCGCGGCCCCGTGCCACGCCAGGCTGCTCCGTTCTCCCCTTTAACTCGCGCTGCCTCTCCCGCAGCTCCCCCAGGACGACGACGACGCGGAGACAGGCCTGACCGAGGGAGAAGGTGAAGGCGAGGAGGAGAAAGAGCCGGAGAACCTGGGCAAGCTGCAGTTTTCCCTGGACTATGATTTCCAGGCCAACCAGGTGTGCGGGGCTGGGGAGCGGGCAGGACGTTGGGTGGAAGGGGCTAGAAACAGCCCTCCCAGGGAGGTGTGGGCACTGCTCCTCTCCATGGAGCGAGGCAGGCTGGACACTGTAGGGCATAGAGCCTCGACACTGGCCCTGGCTTGGCCACCAGGCTGCTCTGGGGAAGGTTCTAGGTCGATTGTGCTATTAACCTGCCCACCAATCTTGGGCAAATCAATTGCCCTTTCACCCCCGCTTCCCCAGTGTCATTCCAAACTCCCTGGGACGGAGACAGAAACCAACCTTCCTCTCCAGCACCAGCCTGCCCCCCATTCCCCGACTGCCACCTGGGAAGGGGTTGGCGGGAGCGGGGTCTGGGGCAGGAGCTGGCGTGGGGGCCGTCCCGAGACTCAGGCCCCTCCCTCCCTCCCTCTCTCCGCAGCTCACGGTGGGCGTTCTGCAGGCTGCCGACCTGCCGGCCCTGGACATGGGGGGCACTTCAGACCCTTATGTCAAAGTCTTCCTCCTTCCCGACAAGAAGAAGAAATACGAGACCAAAGTCCACCGGAAGACACTGAACCCCGCCTTCAATGAAACCTTCACCTTCAAGGTGATGAGGGCCTGAAGGGTGACTCCAGCTTCCTCCCCGATCCCAATTCTCCCCCAACGTCTGCAGACCTTTCCTTGGTCCTTAGCACGGCTCAGTCTGGAACAGTGGCAGGCTGGGCTGCGGCCCGTGCGGAAGGGACCCTCCCACCCTACCCCTGCACTCTGCTCACCCAGACTTACCAGGAGCCCCGTGGGCTGGCTGGAATGGAGACCCAGGCCCAGGGACCTGCCCACAGTGTCCCCTGGAGGGGTATGGGTCACACTGGCCCCTTCTGATCCTGCTTGTGCCCCGCAGGTGCCGTACCAGGAGCTGGGGGGCAAAACTCTGGTGATGGCCATCTACGACTTCGACCGTTTCTCCAAACACGACATCATTGGGGAGGTCAAGGTGCCCATGAACACTGTGGACCTCGGCCAGCCCATCGAGGAGTGGAGGGACCTGCAAGGTGGCGAGAAGGAGGAGGTGAGAGCAGAGACCAGCGAGACCACGCAGGGAGATGAATGTAGCTGCGTGCCTGGGCTTCCACCCTTTGGCATGACCGAGGGAGGGTGGGCTGTGGAGCCAGGCGACCTGGGTTAGGGTCCCAGCTCCACACCGTCTAGCCGTGTGACCCTGGCAAGTTGCTTCAGCTCTTTGGCCCCGGGTCTTTCCTTTCGTCTCTTTTTAGAGAGGAGGATGAACTACCTACACAAAGCGCCTAGCACGGGGTCTGGTACTGGCTGGGGACTCAGATAGATGAGACCTCCATTATTATCCTTACTCCTAAGGTTCTGCTATCACCTACGGCCAGTGAGCCACAACTCTGTGCCTCAGTTTGCCCACGAGGAAAGCTCATGTTTGTTCTAAAGGACACTCAGCATGGGGGGCTTGTCCTCTCAGCCACTGTGATGGCATTCATTCGCTCCCCAAATATTTACTGAGGAACTGCTATACTCCAGAAACTCCACTCTTCCCACTCCTCCTTCCGGGCATCAGTTGTTGTCCGGCTGGGCCCCGGCTGTCACCCAGCACAGTGCTGGGCAGTGACGGAGGGATGAGTAGAGAAGCTTAGGACATCCTTTCGTACCTTGGAGCTCACGGTGTGTCTGGGCAGAAAGCCCGCACACCTGAACCAGGACTGCGTGGTGTGGTCAGTCTTGGCCAGGCGGCCGTGACTCTGAAAAGCTTTGACTGCAGCGCGGTGTGGACGGAGACCTAGGATCGGGAGCCCTGGGTCCGCACCCTGCTCGCAGTGCTAAATTGTGCGACTTGGAGCAAAGCTCTGTGAACCCCAGTCTCTCGTTGGTCACGAAGAATCCTTGCCTTGTCTGCATGAAAGAGTTGCAGCGACAGTCGCAAAAGAAAAGAGTTGCACAAATCACTCTACAAGCGGAATGGCCCATCAGGAGAGACCTCGGTGGGCGGGAGGGATCCGGGAGGAGGGCTTCCCAGACACTCCGTCTCCCAGGGCCCTTGGAAACGAGCACGTGGCTGCCAGCCCCACTCCTCACGCCCTTTCCCACCTTTCCGGGGCCTGGGCTGGGAGCCCACACACAGCCCCATCGGCCCACCGCCGCCCAGGCATCGCGGCCCACTCACCTGTCAGCATCCTCAGCCCATGGCTCCCACGCCGCCGGGTGGTCACTCTTAGGGGCTTTGTTGAGCTGCAGCAGGAGGCCCTGAGGTTGGACTCAGAAACACCACCTCAGCCATCACAGATGTGGGGACTGGTGACCGACGGAGGGGGGAGAAACCACTGCCTTGTGAGTCTCGGCAAGTTGGGGGTCGCCACGCAAGAGGGAGAGGGAGGGCTGAGAGGACCTGAGTCCTGCTTTTCCCCCCGGACAGCCAGAGAAGCTGGGCGACATCTGCACCTCCCTGCGCTACGTGCCCACGGCCGGGAAGCTCACTGTCTGCATCCTGGAGGCCAAGAACCTCAAGAAGATGGACGTGGGTGGCCTTTCAGGTACATGCAGAACTTCTGGCTGCCATCGGGTGGCACCAGTGAGCCAGTCGGCACCCAGAGCCCCTGGAGTTTGCACACTGCAGTGACCCAGACGTCTTCTTACGGAGCAGGGGAGCCCTGGCTTTCCAGCCCCTCCCTGTCTCCCGGGGTCCCCTGTCTCCAGTGGGAGCTGCCTTCCTGGCGATCTCTGGCCACGCCCCGTGGGCCATGGAGAAAAGGATTAGAGAAATGTTATTCCCCGGATGAGTTAGTAATTTAGGATTTTATTAATACTTCTCCCAGGGAATTGTAGGGAGCGGGCAGGGCTTAGCCCAAAGCATGCCACCACAATCGGGGACAGTTTTCCAGGAGAGGCTGTAGGCTCTGCTGTCTCTGCCCTGGAAAGGGGCTCTGGGGGAAAGCTCTGAGTGTCACATTTACCCGATGGCGAATGGGGCTGGCCCAGGCATAGGGTCCTGGTGGGTGGAGCCCTCTGTCTCTGCCGTGCCCTCCCAGAGAGTCAGCCCTGGGCACGGGCTCTAACCAGCATGTCTCTGTGCCAGCCCTGGCTCTGTCACTGACCCACTGTGTGACCTTGGGCAGGTCATTTCCCTTCTTTGGCCTCAGTTTCTCGTCTGTAAGTTTAGGAGGATTGGATTAGGTCAGGATGTTGACACAGCAGATCTATATCCTGCTTTGGGACTCCCCGGCCCCCGTCTAGCCAGGATCACCAATGGGTCCCCACGCGTTTTCTCACGAGGCATAGTTAGACTCAGAAGTTTCCCCAACACAGTGCTCCAGGAAGCCACAGCAACCGATCAGAGGTAGTTCTGGGGGTGAGGCCTTTTTGTCACCCTTGCACTGGATGGTTACCTGTGTCCTTTGGGCTTCCTGTCCTCTGACTCAGTTCTTCCTGGGGCCTGGTCTCAGCAGAGTGGAGTCCCGTCTCCACCGATGCTCTGGGCAGGCCCCGGTGCGTTCGGCGGGAGGGCAGGGGCTAAGGGGACCTCCCTGGGGTTGGGATTCTCCCGCTGCAGACCCCTACGTGAAGATCCACCTGATGCAGAACGGCAAGAGGCTCAAGAAGAAGAAGACGACGGTGAAGAAGAAGACCCTGAACCCGTACTTCAACGAGTCCTTCAGCTTCGAGATCCCCTTCGAGCAGATTCAGGTGCTCGAGCCCTTCGGGTTCTGGCGTGGAGCGGGGGGCGGGCAGGAGAGGGAGCTCACCTGAAGGTCACCGAACAGGCCTGCTCAGGGTGGGGGTGGGGCCTCCTTCCCAGGGCATCCTTCCAGAGGGTTCCGCTTTTCCCAGGAGATGAACATGAACTAATTCCAAAAAATTCTACAAGTCATTCCTTTAGGACTTTGGGGACCATGGTAGCGTACCTGGGCGTGGGGGGCGTAGCACAGGTACCAGTGAGGTTAGGAGCTGGCCGAGGGGCCGGGAGTGGCCTCCTCCCCATCCCCAGCCGCATCCTGCCTTGGCCGTCCCGGGCCCCACTCCTGCTGCTCCCTAGGTCTCTCCCATCCACACCTCTGACCCTCTTCCTCTCCCCTCTTCCCTCCATCGTTCTAGCCTTTTCTGTTCTTCCTTCCCTCCCTCGCTACCTTCCACCAGCGAGTGCTGTAAATGTGGGGGACGAGGTCCGTTCACACCACTTCTGGGTGTGGTGGGATCTGGACGTGGTGGGACAGGAGACCCACCCACCATGTGGGCAGGAAGTCGGTGCAGCCAGGGGCTCGCAGAGTGGTGGGTTCTCTGGAGTCTTGGTCTCTCCTCTTTCGCAGTGAGCTGATCCCTCCTCTTCTCCACCACCCCAGGAGGGCTGGGTGGGGGGCACGCGTGCAAGGGACTCTTTAGAGTTGGTGCTGCTCTCGAAGGTCTTCAGGAGTCCCTGCGATGCCTGAAGGATGAACACGACTCCTTAGCTGACTCCTGCCGGCCCCGCAACCTCACCTCCTGCCTCGCTCCTCTCTCTACACCCCACGGACTCTGAGCTTCCAATGTTTCTAAGACGCCAAATACCCTCTCTGCCCAGGCCAATCCTCTTCCCTCTTTCTCCCTCTGAGAGAAATCTTTGGCGTCATGTCCCAGTCACCTCCTCTGTGACGCCTGTCCTGGCTGACCTGAGCAGGACCGTCCTCCCCTCTGAGTTTCCGTAGTACCTTGTGCCTTCCTCTTTAGCACAGCCTTTAGCACTCTGTGTCGTTAAGTTTTTATTGTGTCCGCTGATCTCGTCAGAGGTGAAATTCATCTTTTCACTTTTCCTCCCACACAAGCGTCTAACACAGTGCCTCGAGCACATACATGCTCGATAAATGCCTGGTGGCAGAAACAAGTTGCCTCCGAAAGGTGTGACTGCTGCCCCCAGGTAAATTCAGTCTCATTCGGAGGCAGAGATGGAAGCAAGGGGCCCTGGGAGGCTTTCCTTCCCCGTCATTTGGAGAATAGTTTGATGGAGGGGAAAAATTTGGTCATGGACCACGTCTTTGCCTGCCAACTCTCCCCCTCCTTTGCTTTTCTTGCAGAAGGTCCAGGTGGTGGTCACCGTGCTGGACTACGACAAGCTGGGCAAGAATGAAGCCATAGGCAAGATCTTCGTGGGCAGCAACGCCACGGGCACGGAGCTGCGGCACTGGTCCGACATGCTGGCTAACCCCCGCAGGCCCATCGCCCAGTGGCACTCGCTCAAGCCCGAGGAGGAGGTGGACGCGCTTCTGGGCAAGAACAAGTAGGCAGCAGCGGCTGGGACCCTGCGCCCGTCACGGACGCTGACGAGATCCAGAGCTATCAATACCTCAGTTATGCGACCTTAGAGGTTTTTTTCATTTGTTTGTGTTATGTCCTTGTTTCTCCTCCTTTTTCTCTTTTTAAAGACCAGCTTCCCTTTGATGGCTGTGTGAGGAGAGTCCCCTAAGAGATGAGAGAGGAGCCTGGCTCTGCTCGTGGTCCCGGGAGCTGCGCTTGCTGCATGCCTGTCACGGCTCCCCTCACTCTTTCGAAGCTTCACGAGCCTCATCCTGAGAGGCCCTCTCCCGGCAGGACGTGGCAGCACTTCCTGTGTTTCCAGCGTTCTAGACCAACAAAATGGCAGCACATCCTGTTTCCTGACAGGGAAGGCAACACAGTGGCCAGCGATCCGTGTGTGTGTGTGTGTGTGTGTGTTTGAGCATCTCTCTTCATTCCTGGAGTGAGCCTTAGACAGTGACGCTGTATGGGAAAAGAAGGCTCTTCGGGAGCCCTGAAAGGAAGAAGGTGCACTAGTGGGAGATCTTCCGTCAGCCTGTGGAGAAGTCTCGAAATCCTGGTCAGATGCCAGAAGCTCCCATACTTCTTGTGGGTGGCTACTTGGGAGGCAGCAAGATGTGGAGACCAGATGTGTCCAGAAGCAGGACCAAACCCTTGATGCCATCATAGACTTCCTCCTGTCCATCATGGCTTCTCCCGAAGTATGGTTTCTGGGACATCCATGGAAATGAGCGGTTCACCCGATTGGCCAGACTCTAACAGGGACTGTCAGTCCCAGGTTCTCACTCTTGTTGACAATGAATATCACACCATGAAGAAACAGAAGTCCCATTACCCAGAAAGACCAAAATTGAACAACTGGATCTTCACTCCATGCAGTGGGAAACACAGATGCTTTTGCCTTGTCCAGGATGTATGCGGTGCAGTTCATTTGCGTTTATTCCCCATTGTGCTTTTGCTTCTGTTTCTCTTTAATGTAAGTGGAGCAACACTCAGCGAAGACACGTTATCTGTACAGAGCCAGAGAACTTTAAAAGGAAGGTTTAAGTGTTCTCAGTTCCCCTGAGGTCCAGGTAAGAGAGGGGTCGTAAGAAGGGGAGGATGGGAACAGTTGGCAGAGATTTCCTGGGATGAGATAGAGGGGAGCACTAGGATTCCCCCCAACTCCCACTCCCTGGACCCTCTGCCCTCCATGCTGGAGTGGCCCACGGAGGCCCGTCCTGCCATTCATTAGGGAGGCTTCTCTATGTGAATGCTGAGAAACGAAGGCCGTCCATTCCTAACGGGTGGTGGTGGAGATCCGCCAGCGTTTCCACCCCATGCTCACTTGTGTCCCATTCCCCACTTACCTTTTGTCCCCAGCATAGACAAAAGCCATATATATGTTAGTCAAGTTTGCACTGAGTCCTCTTCCAAACCTTCACCCTGGATGAGAGAGTCAGGTCCCCGTGTGGCCAGAGGCCAGCCCTCCCCGCCTCCCTTCCTTTGGCTCTTCCCTTCCATCTGTGCAGCCCTCAGGCCCTCGCCATTTCTTCCCTCAGAAAACTCATGGCTTCCCCAGGATCCAGGGACTCTCTAGCACAAATGGCAGCACTTCCTGTCCTGCTCCATCTGGGCCACAGCAGCTTCCTGTAGGCACCTGAGACAGATGACGGTGTTGGAGAGAATCGGGCTTGGAGGACCCAGCATGAAGAAGGTGCAGAGTGTCTTTTTATTTTCTCTTAAATAAGGGAAGGAGTTTTTGTTTTTCCTTTGTTTTTTGGTTGAAGTAGGGAGCGAGGGCACACGTCCGCCAGAAACAGACTGGGAAGTAGGGCTCAGCCTGTTTCTCGGAGACCCTTCTCTGTCTTGCTAGTGGTACATGGGAAGTTATATTTTTCCTGGACTCTGTGTGTGTGTGTGGACATGCAGACGCGTGTACTTAACGATGGGAAGGTAGGACTCCGATGAGGACTATGAGCTGTGGTCCTTGGGACCAGAGTTGTAGTCACGGTAGAGAGCTGTAGGACAGTAGGGTGCCTTCAGAATCTGGGTGCCATGGAGTAGGATTTCATAAGGATTTCAGAAGTCACTGGACTCTTCTCCCATCCCCAGAGCTGTGGGATTTTGGTGCTTTCTCAGGGTCTCTTCCCACACTCATTCTCCTCACCCATACAGACCCCATTCACGGAAAACCGTCAGTCTCACCCCTCTGCCTTCATTCTCTTCCCCTTTCCCAATCCGTCTTCTATCACCTGGAGATTCTTCTCTGCCCATGAACCTCATTCAGCCCTTCCAGAGCCCAAGATCTGCCACGTCCCTGACACGGAAGGAAAGGAAATGGTGGCACCCCAGGTGGTTTGGGTGTCCATGTGTCTGGAGGGAGGGGCTGGATTTTATCACTCTGAGCCCGCCTCTCGCGAGCAGCCTTGAGGGTAGGGGTAGGTTGCTGAGCGACTTTGAGTCTTGGCATGAGTGTGGAGCCAGCGCTGGTGTGGGGGGGCAGTTCCTTCCCAGGTCCCGGCTGGTCCTGATGAGCCATGCTAGCAGATGGCATCTGTCTGGGGCCGTGGGCTAGGCTTGCTTATGCTTGTAAGTTTTCTACACTAAACGGCTGATGTCACCCAAACCACAGAGCTTCATTCCAGTCTCTCACTGCCGTTCAGATTCATTTCTGGGGATGTTAGTGTACTGGGACGCAGGCGCTCAGTAGGACGGGGTTAGGCTGTCTGGCTAGTGAGGGGTTCTGGATGCCTCTGGGGCTGTGAGTTTTCATCCCAAAGTCTGTTCCAGAGAGAGGAAAAGAGTATAGAGATGATTTTTCACAGAGGGGCTGAGACCATGAAAACCCAAACCCAATTCCTCCTGGAAACAGGCACGAGGCACAGAAGCTCTGTTTCTTCTTCCTCCCTGAATGATCATTCCAGAAGGGAAACCAACTCTCCCAGAATGACGGGCACAGTTTTGGACTTTGGAAACTGAGGCGTGGGGGAGGCTGGGTAAAAAACACGTGAGCAGCCCCAGACGGTGAGCAGGTGCTGGGCAGGACTGAGAAGTCACTTTCCTGGAGTCCCTCTGCTGGAAGGAGGGACAGCAGGGACCAGGCCACAGTGTCAGGTCCTGATCTTTTTTCTTCCCAGGAAACTATACAGAGCTTATCTCTGCCGAACCAGTTTGGCACGCTGAGAGAGAAGAGGGGTCGCTTCAGCCCCCCTGTGGGTAGACCCAGCTCCCCTGTAAACCTGCACAGCAGGGTGGTGGTGGGGGTGATAGCAGAGAGGTTGACAAACTTCCCTTGGGGTCAGGGAGTGAGTGATCCTATGTTCCTTCAATGTCCTAGACTAATTCCTGAGGCATCCGAGTCCTGGGTCTCGCCCAACCTTGTATACAGAGAGCCTGTCCCTGAGGGTGTCCCTCCCCCTCAGAGGTAGGAAGAAATTGAGCCAGGAACTGCCCTTGTATCCTCTGCCCTACCCCTTCCCTCTGCTCCCCTTCCCCTTTGTCACTTCAGGCTGGTTGGGGCCCTTTCTCAGAGCCTCGGGTGGTGGCAGGCAGGGAGGAAGCCCAAGTCCTGATCCTGGCAGCCTGGAGCCCCATGATACGGTTGCCAGATTTGGTGACTAAAAACACAGGATGGCCATTACGTTGGAATTTCCGACAAACAAGAAATAATTTTTAAGTATAAATATATCCAGGCAATATTTGGGACATACTGTACTAAAAAGTGATTTGTGGTTTATCTGAAATTCCAATGAAACTGGCCATCCTGTATTCTGTCTGCCCTGTGAGCACTTCTCCCCTCTCCCCTCGGTCCCAGGGGGCCAGAGGCTGGCCACCAAGGATTTATTTGACTTAACCTGTTTTTCGAACTGCAATATTGAGAAGGGGACACTGTGACTTGAAGACACATGAATATACTTTATTTTTTAAGCAACAACAAAACAGGAACCTTCCGAAGCCATTTGAGCCTCATCTGCCCCCGTCCACGTGCGTTTAGTTATATACGATAGTTATCTATAAACATACGACCAGAATCTTGCTGAATCAAGATGCATGTCTAGAACTTTCTGTAAATAGCCGCATGGCAATGCTGACAGTCCCTCGATCCCCTGACCCGAACCCACTTTACAGAACTGGGTGAGGCTGCTCGTTCGATTTTATGTCACGTAAAGTCTTTGTCCCCCAGCCCCACCCTGCCTCCTGCCATCAGGAATCTCCCACGGGAGCCTTCAGCGGCCAGGAGCTGGTCCCAGCTCTGGTGCCAGCCCTGCCATGGGAGTCGCCCTGAAGGCTCGCTGCAGCACGTGTCTGCAGAGCCAACCCTCGGGCACGGCACAGTGTCCAGCCCGGTGTCTGGCGTCCCAGGAGCTTCTGCGTCCTACCTGTGTGTGTGGTGTGCCCCTCCCCCCACCGTCTGAACTAACTGAAAAGCCATAAAGGGGCTTCCTGCTGGGGACTGCCCCGGCTCCTCCTGGGAACCCCCATGTCCCTCCGCCGACTCCCCACACAACACTTGTGAAGGGCTCACTTGCTGTCACCTCCTCCTGCTCCCTCAGCCCTGTGTCATGGATGGTGTCCAGGGCTTCTGGTGGGGCCCAGCCGGAGCTGGCTTCATCTCCACCCTGGGTGTGGACAGGGCAGGGGGGGGACTCCAGAGTTTGGGTGCCTTTCCCGGGGGGGCCCTGTGGAGGCAACCAGGATTTTCAGGAGCAGCCAGTCAGCAGTTCAGCCTGTGGCCAGGTTCCCATTTGTCACCCGCGGTTGACAGAACCAGCCCTGCTTGCTTACCACTGTGGCGGTAGGGTCCGTGGACGGGGATGGAGGAGGACGCCTGGGGAGAAGCCGGGAAGGCAGGGGGTGAAGCTCCCGCTCACGCGCGTCCTGCAGTCTGGCGGAGAGCAGGCCCAGCCGGGGCTCCCCTGAGCGTGCTGGGCAGGGCCGGTTGTGAGGGCGGCTCAGAGGAGACACTCGGACGGGGCAGGTACATGCCAAGCGCCCTGACCCTCAC